GCATTAGTTTGGACAGGTGAATTTTTCAGAATTTGGTGATTGTTCAAGTGAGTGTAGGCTGACTCCAAGGTAAAGAGATGAAGAGACTTTGAAGATGGTAGAATCGTTGTTTAAGGTAGGTAGTGCGGTGTAGGCGTGTGTGCCCAAATGCTAAAGGAGCATTGAGGAGGAGCCGTCCAGCAGCACTTTGATACACCTGCCGTTCAGGGAAGATGCTAGGACTGGATGTGGATGTAGATCAGGGAGGGAAGGGAGGCAAGCAGCATATAATATAGCTTAGGATATCAAGAACGTGTGAGACGATCCAAGGGAAAAGTCAGATTAAGGAGATCACAGGTCTGAGGACCAGATGATAGAAGGAAATCAATGTATAGAAAATAGAGGAGGAAGAAAGAGAAGTACAGGAAACGGGCAAATTCAGGAAAGTCTGAGGGGTACAAGAACCAGGGGAAGATGATATTACACAATCTGAGAGAGTAAATAAGATGAAGAAGGAGGAATAATAATGAATTACTGTCGTATACGAGGATCCGAGAAGAAAGGGATTAAATTGGGACCGCTGGCTTTGGCAGCTGGGTGGTGCTGGTTACGTCTGTTAGATGAAATTCAGTGGAAAGGTAAAGGCAGGGAAGGGGTAACAGCTGGATGGTACATCAGCCCTCCATCCTCAAAATTGGTCTCATATCTGAACTTGCTGTAAAGCCCCGAAGACATATATGGGCCCTGCATGGAGAGTCACGCCATTGTGTACTGGTTTCAGGGTGCTGGGGAGTGAATGGGAATGCAGATTTAATTTTATGAACTACTTTTTGAGAAACTTAAAGAGGATGAGATACGAGCACAGGGGAAGCTAAGGTAGAGGGAGAAAATAAGAGAAATGAGGGAGGGAGAGAGAATGTAAGAAAATGTCAAGAGAGGGCCATTTAGGATGAAAAATGATAAAGCGTGGTACTCATGCTTTATCTTTTATACCTAGATTACATAGTATTTTATTACTATTTGAAGGATGTAATTAACAACACCAATATAACCAACAAGCGTTAATAAAAATAAACTTCATGATGTTCTGTTCCAAACCCTAATAATCCCATTTCTGTGGGTTGAACTACTGAATCCCATTTAATGGATTCGATAATGTGTAATATTCATCTCTTTGTATTTTTGCACTGGTAGCCAGCCTTACCGTAGCAAAGCACCACAGACTGGGGGGCTTAAACAACAAAAATTTATGTTTCACAATCGTAGAGGCTAGAAGTCCGAGGTCAAGGTGTTGACTGGTTCAGCTTCTTCTCAGGCCTCTCTCACGGACTCACAGACGGCCACTGTCTCACTGTGTCCTCACCTGGTTCTTCCCCTGTGCTTGTGCACCGTGTCTCTCTGTGCATCCAAATTTCCTCTTCTTATGACAAGTCATATTGGATTAGAGCCACCCGAAAGGCTTCACTTTGATTTCATCACCTCTGTAAAGGCCCTGTCTTCAACTACAGACACACTCCGAGGTACCGGGGCTTAGGGCTTCAACATACGAATTTTGGGATAACACAGTTCAGCCCGTAAGACATCCGAAGATAATTCTCACTTTCCTGAAATTCCCCCTCACTTCATTTATTCAATATTTTAGCAAAGTATCTCTTTATTACAGGACTCACCATTTTATATCTAGAAAACCTTCCTAACATGGCTAACTATTGCCTGTGCCTACTTAGTCCTCTGGTATTACAGCCACACGCACCACATTGAGTTTTTCCCCTGTTCAGTATGACGTTCATATGATTGTCATTAACCGTTACAGCCGTCTGCATGCATTACTGCAGCCACAGAATTCTAGCCACACCACACCTGACATCTTTGTCACCTTAATGCAACAAATATGAATCCGCTGTGTATAAATTGAATTTGAGAGGATGATGGGTTGTCCCAGTGGGGTGATTTAGGTGTTAGTCTTACGTTAGGGGCTAACACTCAGGATAAAATCAAAGCTCGAGACAAATCTTTGCCAGGAATTAGCTAAAACTCTGTGAGGTAGGAAAAACAGCCTTAAAGGGAAGAGACAAGGAAAAAGAATGACTATCAGACCTTAGGGAACACATATATTTAAGGACTTGAAAGATCAAGGTTGGCAAGGAACTAATGAGAAATCAGTGCCACAGAAACCAAGGAAAGAGAAAGTTAAAACAAGTTTATTCTAGTATTAGCTCTCCCTAAAACAAGTTCCTACACAACCAGTTGATTTTTGTAAAGAGAAAACATTTTATATATAGGTATATGTGTATAATAAGGTTAAATCTTTAACATTATGCAAATATGAGATTTCATAATGTAATACATTGCAAAAATGTTAAGTTTTCTCTTTAGGAGAATATTATAATGTTTAGTTTCTAAGTTACTAATGCCTAGAGAAAATACGTGTGTTTGAGCATATGGAAAAATCTGCATTTTCCTAA